TTTACTGAATAATATTCACATATCAAACTGTTGTCGAATGAATCGCGGCGTTTCCATGGCGCAGAAGTGAAAACATTACATTCATGATCAATAAGCAGCCCCAGATAGCACAGACAGCTGTCATCTCTTACCTTATGCTGTGCGCTTCAGGGCCATTTCTCCTCAGTTTTTGAGGTGATGTGCATAAGCAATCCTTTTATATGTCTGACGTGGTCCAAACACAGTGAATTATGTTTGATCAAACAAAAGAATAGTGAAATATGAAAACAATGATCGATCCCTGTGGCTTATGTAGCACCTCTTATTAGTTGGAATACAATAACTTTCGCATAGATTATGGTAGAGACATTTTTCTTTTTTCCTATGACTACAGACATGTGCAGGAACCACCAAAATTAACCCTAGACCACACAGAACCTAAAAGGTACACTATCAAATTTGAGTTTATAAAAAAAAAAATACAAAAGTGCCTCTTTTTTTAGGTGTTTATTATAACACAGTCAACATATACAGTTATTTTAAACGCTTTCAATAGTGTTTTATGAAAATTCAAAGGGTTTTCTTTAAAATGATACCAAATTTTTGCATTTACACCTCTGCATGTGGATTTGGGAAGCTTTTATATTTGGGTAGGCAAAATCCAGGCGGAAATCATAAAATAACAGCAGAGTTTAACTGGTTAAGTATACTACATTCATTGTATCGTAAATACTTTTTTTTCATGTGGGATTACATTGTGTAAATGTAAACATAACTTAAAAATTGTACCGTGCAGCTTGTACAACGAATATGAATTTGCAGAGTGCAGACTGAATGATTTTAGCCCCGATTTTGACTCGTTCTGTCAGGTTTTGAGAAATCACAGACAAATGCCTGAAATCACAGGCAAATCGATGCTCAGTTACTCGCGGGGGCATGGCGCGACTGTTCAGACTAACACAAGGAGTCATCATGGTGTTATTTTGTTTCTTTTAATGACAGCAGTAAATGACTGAACTATTATTTGACCTGTACAAGCGTTAAGCTAACAATTTTACATTTATTTTTATATCTTTTTTTATCCATGAAGTGTGCAGCTTTTGTCACTGCAGTGTATTTTTCTGGGATAATAGATATTGATATAAGTATACTTAATAAAGTAAACTTTTATACTTGACCTTTACTTAAGTATACTTCTTTTTCCTAAAGGGGTATTTGCTGACTTAATTACTAAGATCTGTACAGCCAGGGAGAGTATAGTCTCTCTGACAGCCAAGTTGGGTCAAAGCTACACCATGTATACCAATATTTCTCAACCACGTTCTTGGAGGACCACCAGCACTGCATGATCTGGATGTCTCCTTTGTCTGTCACACACATTACAGGTCTTTCTGTGCCAATAGGCTGATGATATGAATCAGGTGTGTTTGGTTAAGGAGACAATGTGCAGAGCTGGGGGTCCTCCAGGAACGTGGTTGAGAAATACTGATGCATTGACAGCAAATACCTCTTCCCGTTCAGATTTAGCAAATCAGAAGCATAGGAACAAATTAAATGTTAAATCTGTTGGTCTTTGCCAAATGGACCCCATACTAAGCTTTTAGGGGAAGGATTTGAAATCAATCAAAAGGAGGATGGGATATGATGTAATCTGAAGAGCTTTCTTTAACACCTGAATTTCATATTTGACTGAGAGCCAAGCCTTCTTGTCTGACATTAGTGAACGGTCATAAACACACTCCTAAACCATGTGGAAAGCCTTCCCAGAAAAGCTGAAGCTGTTTTATCTGCAAAGGGTGAGCCAACATATTAAACACTACGGATTAAAATTGGGATGACATTAAACTTCATGTACATGTAAAGACAGATGTCCCAAAACTTTTGTAAATATAGTTTATCTTAAGCATCCTCCACCAAACACTCATTTTCTGGTAAGGTAAATCAACATTCTTTATCAAATAAAAAATACTATATAACATGCGTACTAACAAAAATTATTCTTGTCTGTACAAGTACACCAGCCTTGTATCAAGGTGTCCTAAATACCATGGATGTTATCGGGTGATACAGTATGTTTAGGTTTGCGGCGTGCTTATATGAAGTTCACATCTTCCTTGAAGCCACCCAAAAACACAATTTCTCTCCTGGAAGAGAGTGACGTGGTTATTTATAGGTCTTTCCTACAGTGATCACATGCATTCAGAAAACAATAGGCAGTCATTGAACATGTTTTAAGGATCACTGGTGGTTGGAGATGCTGGCAGCTGCAGCCTGTGGGGGTCTCCATTATAGCAGCATGAAGAGATTCTGAACAAGAATACCTAGAGAAGAAAGAAATAAGGCAGGAACCTGTGTGAGTTTGCTGTAGTAATGCTGTTACACAGGAAAACTTGGAAAAACAGATCTGCGCAGGACTACATTTCTAAAATTCCCGTCAGGTTTTAGTATGAACCCGACCGCTCCTGCTTATATTCAGCATTTGTTGTCCTGCTGCCCGACCTTTTGGGAAACAGAGGCCACGTGAATGGTTTGTGAGCACAATTAAGTGCACACAGCATGCCATATCATCTGATAATTGTAGGAAATAATTCCAAAAGGCATCTGACTGTGTAAAGCCACAAAAAACAAAACGAAATTATGAAGAACGTGTCGACATCAGCGGCTAATCTGCCGGAGTCAGCTGAGGTGAAGTGAAGTGAAGTGACGTGACCAGCGAGACTTAGCTGTCACTCAAGTGGCCACGCCCTTAATTATGCAGACTTAATATAACCTAATATAAAGGAAACGGATGAGTTATAAAAAAATTCACCCCCCTCACAGTTGTCATGAAGGGTAATATTAGCTATATGCCCCAAAATTGTTCTATGTAGCAGGGTGTAAACACCCTTTTTTCTGTTGTATACACTGTAAAAAGTGAAAACTTAAATTACTTCGACTTGTTACAATTAAATGAATTAAGTTTGACAAACTTAAGTTTTCAGTAAAAAATGTAATGAGTTATTTTAGGTGTAACAGGTTTTAGTCATTTATTTTAGAAAACAAGAATGGAACAGTACATACAGTACAGTACAAATCATTCAATGCAATATTGTAAATATAATAATAATAGTAAAACGTACTTTTATTAAAGTAAAAATAATTCCCTTCCCTTCTTAATATAAAAATAGTACTTTAATGTCTTGTGGCAAATACAAGTATTTCTTATTATTGATAGTGAACAATACTTATGCTTGCCATAAATAACTTACTACACCTTAAACAAATAACTTAATTTATTACTGAAAACTGTTATAAATTAAGTTTGTCTAACTTCATTTAATTGTAACAAGTCAAAGTAATTTGTTTAAGTTTCCACTTTTTACAGTGTAGTTGGCCATTCTAACAGTGGGCTCAATTGAAATCCACTCCATATGGAGCCAGGACTAGTGGAATTTCGATGAATTGCAGTTTCAGTTACTTCCGTAAGTGGTAAGAGCGGGAGGTTGCCGCTTGTTTTTGACCCAAGATGTTGCGGATATTATTTGAGTGAATGGGAAAAAGCCTTAGGGCTCTATTTTGACGGTCCATGCGCAGAGCGCAAAACGCAGGGCGCAAACGCTTTCAGGGCGTGTCAGGACGCGTTTTTGCTAATTTAAGGATGGGAAATCTGCCTTGCGGCGTGACGCATGGTCTAAAAGGGTTGAGCTTATTTTCTTAATGAGTTATTGGTGTGTTTTGAGAATAAACCAATTAGAGTCTCATCTCCTATTCCCTTTAAGAGCCAGCTGCGTCGCGCCAAGAGCGCATTCACTATTTACAGGACGCAAAGTAAGTCTAAGTGGAAAAAATGAGCATTTCATAAGCAAACAGTTAACAGTTTATTAACAGAAAACTGTTAAACAGAGCATCTACTGCCTGAGAATGAGAGATAATGGATCACTTTCACTTTCGCTCTTGGATAGGGAAACCTTTACGCACAGACATCAATTAGCCTATAAATAATTAATTTCATTTGTTAAGCGCAAATATTTGTTTCAAAACTATTTCTAAATTCAGTTCTAGCAAACGAATAAATTAACAATAATGACCAAGTGTGGTCAAAATACTGAGTTATTTCCAAATACACCTGCCATGCCCCATATGGTCTAAAACCTGACAGGTGGGTAAATCTAAGCTTGTTTTTAATAAAACAAATATAAATATGGATATAATAAATAATACTGCTAATAATAATAACATTATACAAAAGCAAATTGTTATGAATGAACTGAAAAAGCCTCCCGAGATGAAGACATAAAAGCAGTGATTTTTCATATTTATGTAGGCTAGAAAATAATATGTTTTGTATTATTTTAATCCTTTATATTTATATCCTATATCTATTCTTATTATATCCTATATATATATCCTTAATATTTAAATTTTTTCATATGTAAAGATATTTGCCTATTGCTCTCTTGTGCGTGTTAAGCAGTGTGTAAGCGAGGTGCAACTCTGCGCTGGAGTTTAGACCGGGTTAGTTTTGGTCTAATGAAAAATCTATTATAGTTTCTCAAAATAGCAACGCGCCAGCGGTCCGCCTCAGAATGCCTTCCTTTTTAGACCAGAACGCCTATGGGCGCACATATGAGCGCTAATGCATTTGCTATTTAAACAGTGTAGCGCAACGCCTCAAAACGACTCTTGCGCCAAGCTGAAACTACCAAAAGACTATTGCGCCGCGCCTTGCGCCACATTGCGCCGGGTGTATGATAGGGCCCTTAATCTCTAAATAGGTTTTTCAAAGATACGCATCAATAGCTACTCACATTTTTTACATTTTTTAAAATAGTGAATAGCCAAGAGCTAGCCAGTTGTGAATAAACAGGAGATTTTTTTACTCTCTTTTGACTGAAGCATGGATTCTCAGTTTCTCTCTGCGATGTTTCCTTAAACTGGCTTTGATTTCTTACGACAACTTTATTTCACTAACTTTTTGTTGATTAATTTAATGTATTGAGTTATAATGTGTCTCTCTCTCTCCCTCTTGTGTCATTGAACAGTATAATCCAGGAGACCTGCGCGCCCTGCGGAAGGGCATGACCCTCTACCACTCAGAATCACAGCTGTCTTCCCTCCCGCAGAGACAGGAAGCCTTGCTGAATGTGAGTGATCTCCTCCAGTGAATGCCACCATTGTTCATGTCTGTTTGATAGTTACTTTATTTCATTCCTGTTCAGTGTTCATTCCAGCAAATGTAAAGGAGTTCTTTCGCATATGGGGAACTACAATATATAATGTTTGTAGAGGTGTTTTTTTTCCAATAGTTCACTTTATGTATGAACATAAATATACGTCACTCCTAAACGTAGCTTATATAATTTGTGTGTTTCCCCCACAGTCCAAAGACATGCGGTACAGGTGAATTGGGTAGGCTGAATTGTCCGTAGTGTGTGAGTGAGTGTTTGTGGATGTTTCCCAGAGATGGGTTGCGGCTGGAAGGGCATCCGCTGCGTACAAACACGCTGGATAAGTTGGTGGTTCATTCCACTGTGGCGACCCCAGATTAATAAAGGGACTAAGCCGACAAGAAAATGAATGAATGAATGAATTACCTGTCTAAAAGATATACTTCAGCCATGGTGTGGTTCTTCCTCCAGCGTGCAAAAGTAACTCCAATATTGATTCAAGATTTTTAAAAGTTTTGATTCAGCATTTGTTTTTACCGCTTTCTCTCTCTCTCCATGCTGTGCGCATGTGAACAGGCATGCTTGTGTAAACGGTGGATCCGTCTACGAGAACAGGGGTGCAAAGATGTACAAATCTACATTTGTTGACAGACAATTTGGGCTGCTTATCAGAATTATGGGAATTAAAGTAAATGATCTACATATAAATACATGTAGATCATTTACTTTAATCATTACTATTAGAATGCGAAGGGACTTTCAACCAGCACCACAACACATGTTTCTGAAGACAATCACCTACTGCACCTTTAAGGCTCGTATTTCCAATGAGTCTGGGTTGGCTTAATCAGATTGACTTTATTCAGTAACCTTGTGAAAAAGAAGACTCATTGGTACATCAAATCTTTCATCTATTGTATAGTGCTTTAGGCTTCCCTGCTGAAAAATCCAGCTTAAACCAGCCTAGGCTGGTTGGCTGGTTTTAGCTGGTTGACCAGCCTGGTTTTAGAGGGGTTTTGGCCATTTCCAGGCTGGTTTCCAGCCATTTCCAGCCTGGTCTTAGCTGGTCAGGCTGGAAAATGACCAGCCAAATCCAGCAAAAATCAGCTTGACCAGCCT